TAAGCTACTATTTGCCCTACTACTTTTTAAATATTAATACATTTTTTGCATTACCATACTTTTATTGCATAAATATATAAAATGTTTACTTATTGTTGGAGCATGGAAGATTTTGGAAGAATTTTCTGAGCACTAGTCTCTCTACGGTTGAGGACCACTTGCCTAGACAAGTAAGAGGTCATGGATGGTGGCAAACAGGGAGTCTAAAAACAGGCCGAGGTTGTGGTGAGCAGCGGCCAGTAATTGTGGTCAGATGGAAGTTGGATCGTCAACAGGAATCAAAAGCAGGATCATAGTTACATAGTTAGTCAGGTTGAAAAAAGACAAATCTTCATCAATTTCAACATATAGAGATATGAAAAAAAAAGCCTAAACAGAACACTATGCCCACAATTACCCACTGTTGATACAGAGGAAGGCAAAAAACCCCTATAAAGCATGGTTCAATTTGCTCCAACAGGGGAAAAAAATGTCTTCCTGATCCCATAAGGCAATTGGATATTCCCTGGATCACCAATCTTTGATGCTGAATATACCTATAAGAACTCAATTTCCAGTAATATTCTGTGCATTTAGGAATACATCCAGATTTTTTTTAAAGCAATTAACTGAGCTAGCTAGAACTAGCTCCTGGGGGAGTCTGTACCATATTTTCACAGCTCTAACTGTGAAGAATCTTTTCCGTATGCAAAGGAAAAACCTCTTTCCTCCAGACGCAAAGAGTGCCCCCTTGTCCTTTGCAGTGACCTTAAAGTGAATCATTTGGCACCAAGTTCACTATATGGACCATGAGATCAGAAGCAAGGTGATGGGAACAGAAGCCTGGGAACAGAATCTCAGACAATTTCCAATTGCACTGGGGTGGCTATATGGCTGCAGAGAGTGAGAGATGTAAATATATTGTCCTGTCACCATCTGCCCGGAAGAACCTTACTGCATTAAAATGCAAAAAATATTAGATATACAGTGTATGCTGCTGACTGTGCAGAGAATCGTGTCTGTGCTACCACTTTGGGGCAATATGGGCAGGAGGAAGCAAAGTGACAGGAAGAGGAAACAATAATACCCCTTTCCTGTACATATAATGTGGTGAGCCATTGGTATTGCATCATGTCGAGCCAACGCATCAAGTAGCTTTTTCCTCCGTAATTAGGTTATTTCTCGCTACCTGCAATAACTGACCTGTAGTCATTTATAAAATGCCTTCTTTTGTTTATCTTGATTCTTCTCATTTCTGGAGTAGCTTATCAGCATTCTGATGGAATCTGAGTTTCGGTCAATTTAGATAAATTCTTCAGTAGTGGCTAGTGGGATGTGACACTATTGTCTTGCAAAAGAAAAGGGAAGTTTTAGAATAGTTGTGCTATGTAACTCAACTTCATTCCATCCTTGGTATGCACTTATGATCATTGAGTCACTCTAACCAGTTATATCCAGGTTTTAGAGCAGCATACACTCCCATCCAGACAATGTCTTTTTCAGGGAAGGCTTTGCATATTTCAGGAGGACAATGTTAAACCAAATTAGATGTATGACTTCATAGTAGAAGAGTCTGGGTGCTTAACTGACCTGCCTGCAGTCCAGACCTTTCACCAATTGAAAATGTTTGGTGCAGCTTGAAACGAAAAATACAACAAAGAAGACTCAGGACTGTTCAGCCGTTAGATCCTATATCAGGCAAGATTGGGATCACATTCCTCTCCCAAAACTCCAGCAACTGGTCTCCTCAGTTCCCAGACATTTACAGAGTGTTGTTAAAAGAAGAGGGGAGGCTACGCCATGGTAAACATGGCCCTGTCCCAACTTTTTTGAGACGTGTTGCTGCCATCAATTTCAAAATGACCTTATTTGTTTTCTTAAAATAGTACATTTTCTCAGTTTAAACATTTGATATGTTTTCTGTTTTCTATTGTGAATAAAATATGGGTTTATGAGATTTGCAAATCATTCCATTCTGTTTTTAGGTAGATTTTACACAGCGTGCCAACTTTTTTGGGAATTGGGGTTGTATTTTAAACATTTAACTCCAGCGTTTAGTGTCACTTTAAGCAGCAACAAAAGAGTGGCACTTGGATCAGCAACAAAAGCGGAAACACTGAACAGAAACAAAGGAGAGGACATTGAGTAGCAATACAAGGAGGGCACATTTAACAGCCATAAAAGACTAAGCAGCAACAATAAGGGGAGACACCAAGCATCAATAAAATTTCCCATAGGTTTGTATGGAGCCGTTTGACCCACACAAAAGCCCATCAACACAACTACTTTTATTCACATGAATATTTGTATGTAGATCTGTTTCATCTGCATAAAATCTGCGTAGAATTATGTAATGTAAGAATTCAGGATTCCTGAGTTGCATGATTTTCTGCATATTGGATAAATATATTAAGGAGAAGTAAACAAATTAGTAATTAAAAAATAATTATTCTCTTCTAAGCACCAAAAGCTGAAACCCTCCCAGAAAGAAAATATCAATGGCGTGTCTCAAGTTGATGGTGAAAGGCATTTGAGTCCTAAAGGTATAAATTCACTGAAAGCTGACCTACATTTGAAAGAAAAGTAAGGCCAAAAAACGCCTATGATCCAAAGCCAACATACAGCGGGCTACTGCCTATTATATCCCTACTGGCTATTTTTTTTCATCATCACTGCTCTATAAAGCCAACATTTTAATCACATTTTATCATTATTTGCTTTGATGTTCAAATGTGGCAGATTTCTCTACATCAACATAAAGCAGAAGAAATGTTATGAAATAATTAATTATCCTATTGAAATTAAAGAAGAACTCCAGGCATATTAAATCGTAACCCTTGCAGTGGGGGCCAGCCCTGTACTGCAAGGGTGAAGTGCACATTTTTTCTAGGGAGCTATAATAACAAAGATATTTTATGCAAATCTCAAGCCTGCCTGCTTCACCGGTCCCTGCAGCCTCGCTACCCCTCTGCTCCAGTGGTGTAATTTCTCTCAGTGTCCTCACTGGTTGACTCATGGGTTCCAGAGCTGAAGGGGAGTGAGGTTGCAGGGACTGGTCTAGCAGCCAGGCATGCTCGAGGTGAGTGTATCTTTGTTATTTTGGCTCCCTAGACAAATGGAGCACTTAACCCTATTAGTGCGGGGGTAGCCGAACTGAAAGAGTTGAAATTCCATATGCCCAGATTTCTTCTTTAAAGGGCAACTATAAGAAACATAAAACAAATACATAGACAGCAGCATTAAGGAGAGATTATCATGTGTCCATGTCTGATACATACTTCTCCTACATGGCAGCTTCATACACAGCGCAATGGCTGTCCTGAAACCAACTAGCACCACTCCTATGAGTAAGACCTTTGGTATCACCCAGCACTGGATGTAACGAGTCCCGAGGGTTCAGACCGCTCGGGTCTCCCCACATGCAGGGACGGACAAATTGCGTTCCACGGTGGAACGCGGAAGCCGCTCGACTTCCGGATTGCGGTGCGAGCGGCCTGCGTTCCACGGTGGAACGCGGAAGCCGGTCGTCACGGCAATTGACTCCTCCCTCACTCCTGGGCTATTTAAAGCCCCAGCTGAGGCAGTATGGCGTTCAACTATTGAAGTCAGAACGCCTGCTGCCTCATTGACTCTGAACCCTACAATCTCCCTATTTACCCTGCCTTGGAAGGAATCCCTCTGGACAATCTCTGCTTCAATCTACCCTGCCTGGGAAGGACCCCTCCTAGACCATCAGAAGGACCTGCTGCTTGGTTACAGACCAGAAGCTCCCAAACGCAAGTATCCCCCAGGGGAAAACTAAAACCATAGACTGTATTGATTACCTGAACTGTCCTTAAAGGGTGAACTCCCTGGTATATCGGAGATTTATTATCAGTTTACTACCTATATTACTACAAACCATATCATCCCATCTCATTTATTGATATTAGGCTATGATGCAATAGCTCTGCATTTCTTTTTGGTTACATACGGTTGTGATGCTAGAGTCCCAAACTCCCCGTTTAAGATTGGGAGTGACGCCTGGGACTCGAACCTGAGAAGCCGTCTCCAACCACCAAACGCGTGCTAAACTCCGCAGTTGTGAATCCCAATTGCCACTAAAGCAGTCGTGACACTGGAGAAGAGCTTTGATGGAAACAGCTGACCTGACAGTTTCCTTTTAACAAGCAGCTGAGCAAGATATAAAATATTTCAGGTAAATCAATTAGTGTCTAACATTTGGCCAAGATAATTAAAGAATTTAGCAGGACACCATGTTGTTTTATTACTTGCCAATGACAAAATAAAAAAATGAATACATGCGCACACACATTGATGAAAGAAAAAATGTGCATTCATTATTTTTTTTGCATTGTAGCCTGCAAAGCATTGAAACCACAACTCGCGGATCAGGTGTGCAGTGCATGGGCCTGCTGACTATTCCCCCATCTTCAAATCTGTACAGAGGTACGGGTCTTAGGTTATGGGGTTGGAGGAAGTAATCAATGGACTACAAGTGTGGTCATGTCACAGCAGTTATGCTCCATTGAGATCTATGAGTCCAATAATGTATCTGTGAATAGATTATGTGGCTGTGCAGGACAAATTCAAAAGTATACAGAATACTGCAGGGAGATAAACCCTGAAATTCAGGTGGTGGGGGACAGTTTGAAGGTGGGGAGGAAAGAGGACTGTTACCATGTTTCATGTTACACTCTTCCCGTACATTTAGAGTTTTCTCTTGTTCAGCCCCAAGGGCTGAATGAGAAAAAAACCTTGATTCATGCTAAAGTGGATAGTGAAATACCCACTCTCACATATGCTTCAATAGGGTTCTACGATAAGCTTGCAAGTTTGGAGTTTGGAAGTCATCTGAATATTAAATCTTATTCTCCTAAATGTAAAATTGCAAGATTAAACTTTATCCCAGATAAATAATATCTTACAAGTAAGCCACAGAAGATAAGGAAATGTATATAAAAATGTTTAATGTAATAATAATATTAACAATAATTATAAGTATACACAGACAACATAACATTAAAAATATTAAATAAAAATAAATTATCGTAATAAAAAAATATATTATTTTCGGGGTCACATTGCGTGGCAGTGCTTCTACAGAATTCGGTACGCAACCTAGAAACAAGAAAAAAAGAACAGAAGTTATTTCAGATTATTGGGACCTCATTTTAAGTGTAACAAAAAAAAATTAACATGCATGAACTTTTTTTAAAAAAAGATGCCAATTATCCCTTTGATTTTCTAACTTGTGCTAGTAGCATGAAAGTGATAGTGAAATGTTAATGAGCCTTACGGTAAACTGCAGTACATATATTTTTCCATTTTGTAGGATGTGTTAAAGATCTAAAAATTGTTTGTTTTCCTTTTTTTCTCGTTTTTTTGACAAGGTAGAAACGTTCATCACTCACAAAGTTCTACATGAAGGTATTGTCACCCTTCCCCTTGTTATTATGTAGGCTAAGAGTGGCTCCGCTAAGCATTTGACACTTTTTGTTATCTCCACAGATCATGATTCAGAAATCTGTTGCAATCAAACTAGAGAACGGGACATTAGCTCTAAAGCGTTCCACTTTGTCAACATGCCACAATGACTGTAAGGGGCAGAATAAGCCATGACCAAGGATAATGACATGCAGTATGAAGAATATAATCAAAATACTCACCATTTCCTTCAAACTTAAACTTCATCACTTCCATTTTCTTGACCTAATTTCTTTTTTTCTTCTGCTTCATATTGATAGGATGGATATTTCCTTCGTGTGCTAAAAAAAAAAATATCCAAATGAATTCAACTCTGAAGTAACTTAACCACACCATTTTCACTCACTGGCTTGCAATGTAATACAAAAAAGGATAAAGGTGGGATCTTGCATAAGATATTTTGTATGAGATCAAACATATTATCATTGCTCTCTGTGCCTTCCTGTCTTGGTGACAACCGCTCCCTCGATTTCTTCTGGTTTCACAGGACAGGAAGGGAAGGAGAGTTTTCCCAATAGAGGGTCAAAGGTAGAAATAAAAACGTGATCTAAAGGTCAACATGAATAAAACCTGATCTAAATTGTGTCTTTTCCACACTCTATACAAAATGAGAAAATGCTTTGGCTGCAATTAGGCTTTAATTGTGTGTTTAGTAGGATTTATAAAACTGTAGGCCTGATTTACTGTAGTGTAAAGTGAGTTGAAGAGCAGTGGAGTATAATATGCAGCCATGTAAAGGATATGCTTTTTTTTTTGTACTTGATGATTAGATGTTTTAAGTGAACATAAGTGAATTGTACACCACTATTCTCTTTAGTAAATCTTTAGTAATACATATCTTTCACCAATACTTGCTTTGGCACACCAATCTAAATACAATTGGCCTCTCTTGCGGCATGGCCCTGAGTGTGTATTGTTTCCTAATATGGGCTTTATCATTTTTATCATTTGGGTGGGCTTTGGGCAGATAGGAGTCATCATTGCCTCGTATGTTAATTTCCAGGGACAGTCCCTGATTTTGATCTTTCCCTGGATTTACCCATCCAACCCTGACTTTTAACCAGCTGTATAGTTTTGTTCCACTGTTTTCTCAAAAGAAACAATAAAAATTAGTGTGTCATATGTGTCATACTTACTGTACTACAATGATGATGATGATGGCAGAAATGCTAAGAGTTGATAGCAGGACAGCTATAACTGCTAATACTGTTGTTGTGGTTATGTCGCTAAGTTTTTCCTTTGCAGATGTCATAGACTGTTCGCTGCACCGCTCACCAAAGAAGTTTTGCTGGCATCTACGGAAAAGAGGAACACCTTAATATTAACACTCTCTCTATATATATGTACAGCACTGTAAGCTCGCCTACGCAAACGTTAGTGTTTTTGTGGTCATAAGAAAAGACTGTAACAAGGCACTGCCTAAAATAGACAGAGTACAGTTGCAAAGGATTGTCATCTATGGAATGCAGTGTGATCTCATCTCTGCAATACATTCTAGGAAAAGCAGAGTGCATCCATTCACTGCTTTCACATTCATTTTTTATAAGCAGCAATTCATGTACAGAAAGTGTGAGGCTTACCTATAAAACAAGGCCGTTTTGATCACAAAAAAGGAATGCTGTTATTATAAGTAAGACTAATAGGCTGAATCAGTAGAGCAAAATCAGTAGAGCAGTGCAAAGCAAAATGATGGCATCCAAAGTACAGATACTGCTCTTTACAGGTTTACTGAATATATGTGGATAGCTCTTCTTCACATCATCTTCAAGGTCAAGAGTTAATTCACTGGTTTTTATGACTCTCAAGGGCTCTTGTAGGTAACATTTCTGCACCTTAAATTCCCAGACGCACACCATTAGAAAGAGATCCCTTACACTTTCTTAGATGTTTGGACTTAAACAGGGCTATTCACAAAAGGTTGAAGCGATTGAAGAAGTCAGGAGAAGTGAAACAATCTAGGACAACATAGCTAAACTGGAAAGAGAGCTGAATTGGAGAATTCTTCCAAATCAGCTATTTTGGCCTAGATTGTTCACTTCTCCAAACTCTTCACCCTTTTGTGAACCCTGTCAGTATTTTATATTATTAAGAATGCAACAGAATGAGTTGGACCATATCAGAACACCAGTGGCAGATGGAGAAAAACAGTATGGTGGGTGGAATAGAAACAGGAACTATAGCATGGAGATGTAAACACTAGACCGGTAAGAGACATAAGGATCCAGTGGGTAACTTATACTATACTTAGCCTAAAACTCTAAAATCTCTTTTTTTGTAAACAGACAGGAAAAGTATTGTTAGTGTTAAAATCATTACATTTGTAACATAGAAACTCACTTGCATGAGACTTCTGGAACCTTTTCTAGGTATCGGCATTCGCCATGTATGCAGAATTTTTTATGTGTGGTTAGGCAGGGATTCTGCTTCTTCTTCTTATTTCCCTTTTTTGATCCTTTTTTCTTCTTTTTTTCTCCATTTTTCTTTTCACCTTTCTTGCTGACTGTTGCTGTTGACGCGTCTGCGTTTTCTGGCTTGATTACTGGTTGCACTGGTAAGTGAAAAAATCAGTTAGTATATTTAGAATTTGTAATGCAGTAGCGGACACAGACAAGTATAACAGTATTTTAATCAGGGCTGCATTATTAACATTTAAGCCTTTACTCAGATTGTCAAGTGTGGTAAGAAAGGATTGCCCAGCTTGGAAAGCCAAATACTTCATAGATATAGCCATACAAGCATACATCAAAACCTTCCTAAACTGGGTGTTCTGCATAAATAAACATTACATTCAGTACACGGTCAGAAATATCTATCATAACCTGGATTTTCCATCTTAAGCATGCATGCTTTAATATATATGCCAACCATACATTAGTAAACACTTTGAATGCCACCTGAGATCTTTACAGGAAACCTGTACTAAGAAGAAAATACAGACTGTCCCTGCTGTGACCTCTTTTGGAAAATGCTAACTTTCTGGTTGTCATGCTATTTCCGCTTTAAAACCTGAACTGGAAGAAATACGCTAGTGTTGAGTCACAGCATTTTAACACCACATAGCTTACATATTTATTTTAGTATACTTTTCCTTGAAGTCCTTTCTTTGTTAAAAGCTGGATATTAGTGGTAGATTCAAATCTGTTTTTATAGTGATATATTTGGAATCCCAGTATTATGTGACACTACATAGAAAATCCAATCAATTCAAATTGTTCACTTCCCACAGTATTGATTTACCAGACTTTAACAATTTATGTCAGTATATTTAAGTACGAGGCCTGCAGCGTCAGTTATTAATCATCTATAAGAGTATTAGCTTTCACAACTGTGCCCTACAATTTTCATCCTACACAACACAATAATGATTAATGTAAGCTGGACCTCTACCAAAGGTCCTTCTTACATACCTAACTTTCTTAAATGCCTCTCTGAACATACATAGCTTCCTACCTGACCCCTACCCCCCAAGCAAGCCTTTACTTGAATTCTTCTGAATCGGAAATGTCACTTTTTCAAGAATGACTAAAAACTGTGTACACATAAGCCTTGGAGGCAGGGTTGGGAGAAGGTCATGTCACTGGGAGATTGTGCTAGACACGTTTCATTAACATGCAGTGAGTCACTAAGGTGAGGCTTTAAACACCAAGCTTTTTCCCTTCATCCACACTCACACACGGTAACATTATATGGTTTACTATATCGCTATACTCCCTCGCAGCCTAATCTCTTTCAGCACATTTGATGGACGCTCATAAATTAGGATTTACGGTACTAGCCATTGCTGGTTTGATGTTGTTAAAAGAATAACTCCAGCCCAACAACCAATTACGATTTAAATGCGGGAATGGTACTGCTTTGCTTACCATAGGATTTGAACATACTAATGTCCTTTTGATCCAATTGATAGCAGTTGTGCAAACTGTTCACCATTATATTGCTTCCTGCCATGTGGTTATCTACCTAAGTATTCTACATTTACCTATTATGTATCATATTCCAGATCAGGTAATTATAGTGCCTGATTTCAACATTGATCTGGTTTGTGGTAATGCAGTATACAACAGACAATATCAGACACTTCATAGAACCCAACGGTTATCACCAGATAATGTTATTTTGGGAAGTGATAACTGGTGCAATTGACTTCATAGTATATTAGATACCACTTGGACCTTTTATTAAAAGTGATGCCCACTAGAAATCAGGTATATAAATATTTTTTCAGAGAAGTATACAACCCCTTAAACATGTTTTAAGGGTTCCTTTATTTCCTGAAAACATTCAGCTCCAATGAAGTAGAAATTAGTATATACCAAACAAGACACTAATCTTTGTAAATATGGTGTGCCTACGGCAACATATGCTTCTGCAAAAGACAGCCTGTTATTTGAATATCTGAAAGAGTGGTACCCCATCTTTATATCCGAGACTCCTCTCTCCTTAGACACCATATATTACTCCTATTCTTTATTGACAAAAATATTTCAATATATTTTAGTATATTCCCTTTAGCTTCAAGCGTAGAAGCAATAGATAGATAATATAATAAATGAAGCGTCTATAAAAAGGAGAAATATTGCAGTGGTTGCTTCAGCTCTAGCAGTTTAAATCCACAGAAAAACACAAATGTTTGACACATGGTGTCTCAGATGCAGACGAGAAGGTACTGAGTAAGCGTTCCATTATATGATTCACTCCTGGCAGTGCCACAAACCTCTGCAATGTGTTCAGGGCCCACACAGCTCCAGATCATTAAATGACGGATAGCAGACTTTCTAATACAGCGTAATAATAAAAGTAGGTAGCTAAATATTATCACTGCAGAGTTCTCGGTTTGTAGACATATTTTGCGTAGGCAGAAGTAAGTGTCATATACTTTTTCAAAGTATTGAATTATTCCTGTTTCTCATCATTTGCTTATCTCTACATATGCTAGATTTTTATTACGAAAACAATTTTGGCTTTAGCAACAAGCTTCTCACTTTCATCGGCCAACTAAGAAAGAAAGAGAGAAATGTGGAGGTTGCCATTGCTGACTTCTCCTGATAATGTACGCTTCCTGGCTGTCATGCGGATTCCTGGTACAGGGAATCATTGATGCAGAACAAGCAAACAGATATGAACTACTGTCTTTTCTCCAATTAAAACTCCTGATTAGCATTCTTGTTTTTGGTAAGTGACATATAAAGTATTTTAGCTAGTTGTTCAGCATAACAGCTCAGGAACTATTTTTAGGAGGACACAATAGCAGTTTCCATACTTTTGTTATGACTGGTGTACTTTTTTCTGCATATAAAATCTACAGGGCATCAACATTCTACTGATAAGGGCAACCACTCAGATTAGAGCTCTTATTCTATTACCTGAAATGGAAAAATAAAGGTTGCTATGGGCAACACAATATCTTTTTTCTACTTTCGGATTCGTCAGAACATGCAGTACATCTAAAGTGCTAGGTAAGCTGATCGTCTATTATAAAGAACAGAGCTGTGTGTCTAGTGAGTGCCACGCTAGCAATGACATAATGCATACCAATTCTTAGTTTTATTGCATTTACTCCTAGGCTTTTAACATGTTCCTACAGGTATTAGGTGCCTTGTATGCATGTAATTTAAAGAACTTTGATTTAAGTGATTTAAACAGCTTTCTTGTATTGCTGTTCCATATTTTACCCAGCCTAAAACAGCACAGAAGTATTATAAAATGCAAAGCTCTACCCTCTTGTCTCCAATCCCGCTGCTTGAACCTCGGGTGACTGGTAACGCTTCCGCTGGAGCCTTTACTAAGCAATAGGTAAAAAATCCGGCACTCGCATGGGGATCCGTCCATCCAGTACTTTATTTGTGAAAAGGCATAACAGCAGCAAACACACAAATGCTTACATGCTTACATGTTTCAGCCCCCAAACTGGGCCTTAGTCGTAGCCAAATAAGCTACGACTAAGGCCCAGTTTGGGGGCTGAAACATGTAAGCATGTGTTTGTTTGCTGCTGTTATGCCTTTTAATAAATAAAGTACTGGATAGACAGATCCCTTTGCGAGTGCCATTTTTTTACTTATTGCAATGTAAAGCATGTAAGATTTAGCTAATTATAGTATGAAGAACTTAGCAATGTTACCCCTGTAGATGCATCCACCTACTTACCACGAATAGAATCATCGTCTATGAAGAAGCTGTTGATTGAGATGTGTTCTTCATTATCTTCATTGTCGCTTTCTTCCTCATGGCCCAGGTCATAGAAGTCCTTAATACCTTCAGGGAGGCCATCTCCTTCTCCAGAGACTGTCACACTAGCATTAGGCTCAGTGGTCGTTAATACAACACCGTACACTTTGCTTCTGTTTGCTGTAGATTTAAGAAACAATTATGAGATTAATTACATTCTTTTGACTAATTGATAGTGTACATTTTGCTCTAGGTACAAGTAAGGGGTAAAATAAAGGCTAAAAGTGATAGCCAAATAAGCTACGACTAAGGCCCAGTTTGGGGGCTGAAACATGTAAGCATGTGTTTGTTTGCTGCTGTTATGCCTTTTAATAAATAAAGTACTGGATAGACAGATCCCTTTGCGAGTGCCATTTTTTTACTTATTGCAATGTAAAGCATGTAAGATTTAGCTAATTATAGTATGAAGAACTTAGCAATGTTACCCCTGTAGATGCATCCACCTACTTACCACGAATAGAATCATCGTCTATGAAGAAGCTGTTGATTGAGATGTGTTCTTCATTATCTTCATTGTCGCTTTCTTCCTCATGGCCCAGGTCATAGAAGTCCTTAATACCTTCAGGGAGGCCATCTCCTTCTCCAGAGACTGTCACACTAGCATTAGGCTCAGTGGTCGTTAATACAACACCGTACACTTTGCTTCTGTTTGCTGTAGATTTAAGAAACAATTATGAGATTAATTACATTCTTTTGACTAATTGATAGTGTACATTTTGCTCTAGGTACAAGTAAGGGGTAAAATAAAGGCTAAAAGTGCCACAGTTAAATAAAAATAGATAGAAAAACTAGTTAACTTATTTAAAGGAGAGAGATTTGGTGCCAAATACTCTATTCAATATCAATACTATCTACCCTATTTATCAATTCAGTTTCAATTCAAAACAGTTCTTTAAAGAGTACGAAAAAACCACCATCAGTTCCTGACTCACACTGGGGACAATTTTGGTTGAAGCCAATCAACTATTGAGTATGTTTTTGATTTGTGGGAGGAAACCAGAGCAACCAAATGAAACCCACACAAACACAGAGAGAAAGTGCAAACTCCTGAGTAGTGATGAGCCGAACACCCCCGTGTTCGGTTCTAACTCGAACTTTCGAACATGGAAAAAGTTCTAACTCGAACTTAGAACTCAATGCAAGTCTATGGGGGTAGAACTCAGAAAATTAAAGGTCCCCATTTTGAAGCCTTATATGCAATTTATTGGCCATAAAAAGTGTATGGGGATCCGGGTAGTGCCCTGAATGACAGGAATCAATGAAATTTAAAACAAAAAAAAACAAGAAAAATATTTTTTAAAGGAACAGTGATTTTTACATGATTTACAGGGTAAGAGTAAAAATGAAAAATTCCTTCAAATATTGTGCCTGGAGGGTCCCCATAACCTGCCTGTGAAGTGGTGGATCTGTAGATATTCCGTAAGAGAATAGGAAGACCAAGGTGCAAAGTATAGTACTCCATGGCAACCAATCAACAGTCATCTCTCAGCTCAGCGTAATACAGTAATCTGAACTCTTTTTGGAAGCTACATGTAATTTCACTTTATGAATGCTTTTTGCTTCTAGCGTTGTCTTCTAAAAAACATGCTTTGTCAGCTAGTTAAGGCGGACAAGTGGTCTTTGGAATTTTAGTTATAAACATTATACACTACTAAACCAACCATTCTCAACCAGGGGGCCATGGAACCCTAGGGATCCTCTAGAGGTTGCTAGCTGCTCCTTGAGCTGTGGCTGACTGACCTCCCATGTGATGGTGTCTGCATAGTTCTGGGGCCAATACCAGCAACATTTTAACTGTCTGTAAGGGTGGCATTTTGACTACCACTGTAAGGGTTGCATTTTTCCTACTATTGTAATGGGCATTTTCCCCATTGACCCCCAATGTATTGGTTTTAGTAAGGCATTTCAATTGCCTGAAAATTAATTTCGGGGTTCCTCTGGGGTAATAAGGTTGAGAAAGGCTGCACTAAACACTTGTCCCCATTTCCTTGCTAAGTTGCTAATGTGCTGGAAGGTTTGCTTCATTCATAAGCTTGTTGGTGACTTGTCCTCCGTCCACTGACGTCTTCCTCCTCACATACTGTATTCCTGACTTGTTCTGACATGCAAGTTTCAGCTTATCACAGTACATTCTCTCCAGCTAATACTCTGGCTATATTCTTAGCTGTATAAATGTCTCATTTTTAGTAGTGTGAATAAAATGTTTTACATTTTTTTTCAATTGATTGCTTTGTATGTTTCACATTAACATGTTTCACATTAACCTAATACACACAGGAGATCAATCTGCACAGAGGTGAGCAGTCCTGTGTAATTAATCTCCCACAGTAATGCAGTGCTTCAATTTGCATTGAATTTGTAGCAGAAAATGTTACTGACTGGTCTCCTGCATTGGTTTTAATGGAAGGAAGAATTTATTTGCTCATCCATGAGACTGTTGTGTACTTATTTATGTATAAGTATACTCAAGATTAATCTAAGGATACCTTAAGTGCCCATAGACATGAGATGACAGTCACTTTTCTGAATGATACCTCTATAAAGCAAGGGTGGACAAATTAATATGGAATTCAGAAGCCAGTCTGAGCAATACAGGTGCCAGCAGAATTTTCTTTATGAGCCAGCTGCTCTGACAACAACTAAAAAAAGCCAGAAAAGTTAGGAGCCAGCTTTAATTTGTACGGAGTATTGGCTATTGGTTTCCTGTCTCTTGGAAGTTGTCCATCCCTGCTATAAAGTATCTGTAGATGTCCACGGAGGCTACATAGAGGTATTCAGATGACTCTTTGTTAGTTGGCTGTCATTTTCCCCCGATAAACCAGGGTTGGGAGGTATCTACACATGGCTAAATATGAACAATTGCTTGAGTCCCCCTCATGTGTCTCTGGGCACTTTTATCTCTAATCAGTTCCTCTGCAGTTTGCTTCAAATGTTTAGAAGCTCTGTGCAGCCCCAGTTTGTTTAACACAAAATAGTGCATCTGTAATTCTATATAAATAATGCTTATATACCACTAAATACTATAGGAATAAAAGTATTTCATAAAATAATAACAGTAATAGAGAATTGTACAGTGTTAGCCAACGATTAGTTTGGAGTTTCAGTGATACCCTTTATTGTCTAACTTAGGTCAATAAAAATACAAGCTTTCAGTATTCCTTAGATCCCTTCGTCGGGCTTTATATATATCTTGTATAGAGAATTGCATAAACCCTGGCAAAGGAATCTAAGGAATCCTGAAAGCTTGCATCTTCAATAACTTAAGTTAGCCAATAAAGGGTAACACTGAAACTCCAAACTCTCTGCATAGTAAGCACAAAATAATCTACAAGTAATTACAAAAATTCAGAAGTATTGTATCACCTTTTAGTTTCCATTGGTAGCAGAACTAAAAGTTAGTTGAATACGAGCATTCCAGCAGTTAGAAGCAAGAACAGGACACACAAGCTGCTAATGTATCTAGTAAAATGTTCTTACCTATTGAGAGAAGTAAAGTGGTCCACACAAAGAGCAATGAGAGAGAAGACATTGCTGAGCAGGGAATCCTTCTGGAAAGAGGCATGGTGTATACAGCTGAGCTCTTGGCGTGATGTTAGGACACAGTGGAACACTTTGTGTCAGAGCGAGCTTTGCAATGTTGTAGCAGCTCCAGCTGAGCTCAGGATGAAGTGCAGCTAACTATGCAATGTATTATGTAGGAAGGGAAAAGGGTGGTGTGCCATGGGAGGAGCATGGCTCAGATTTACGTCATAGGAAGCAGGTAGGCAGATGACACAGGATCCTGTACTTTAATATGTGTGTGTTTATTTTTTTAAATTAAGCCTAAAAAAGAGAACTGAGTATTCTGAAAATCCTGCAGTATTATATTGTATATTTAGTGAGCTGATAAAGCATATCATTTTTATTTTTAGTTTTTGTGCTTTATCTAATGGCTAACATGATACATTGTTAACACAGACGGAAGATTTAAAAGAATGGCGCATGGAATGCGACGATTTCTAAATGCACACTTGTTTTGCGCTCAATGCACCAAATATAATAAAAGTGTCACACGACAATTAATTAATTTGTTGTAATATAATGGTGCGATGTCCGTACATACACATTCACTTCTCCTCACCCTTCTGCAGTGCTGATCCTCACTGTCCATCCCTCCTTAATACAGTATTTGTACAACTGTGGCAATAGTGTACATTTCAGAACAATTTGTAACTTACAACATTATTGCAAGCGCTTGATCATTTTGGCTCTGTCGCATATCTCTTTAAATTCCCATTCACACCTTAGTGCATCAGGAATATTCATCAAATGTGCACAAAAGCGCGTGCTTTGATGTGTGTTAACGAAATGTGCACCAAACACAGAGAGCGCTTGCAGTGCCATTACTAGTTAATGGAGCCCCAAACATGGCTGAGCAAATGCGTCTTTTTCCCATGCGCTTGCACACTTGAGAACACATGGAAAAAAGTGGGTCGCATGTCGCAGAATTTGTTACATGAGCTACTTTTCTGCATTCCTCGAACATTCAGGAACCCATTAAAAACAACGGGGACATCCACTAAAGGTGGTAAACAAACTCCTGCAAATCTGTGTGGATTCACATGACCACAATGCGACCTCCGCTATGCTATGATGTGAATGGGGACCTAAAAAAAACTTCAGGATTCTTTTTCTTATTAATCCTTGCAGTGAAGCTACCCCCACACTGCAAGGGTTAAGTGCCCATTTGTGTCTAGGTGCTTAAATAACCAAGATATACTCTCCCGAAGCTACGAGCCGGCCAGCTGTCGCATCGCTCCCCCCAGACTATCTCCTCTGATCTGAAGCATGGGAATCTCCCTCAGCGTCTCACGTCTATACAGAGTGCATAGACATTGTTGATTTACGGGACCTTAGACCACTGCAGAGGGGGGGGGAGGGGAGATGTTGGAAGAACTGGTCCAAGAAGAAGCCGGCTCCAAGCTTTGGGTGAGTCTAACATTTTTTTTTTTAACCTTAACCACTGCAAGGGTTAATAAAAACATTCCTGGAGTACTTCTTTAACATGATTTGACGCATCTGGAGCAACACATAGGACTAATGTAATGAATGGCATTGTTGATTTGGCGCACAGAATATGCACCAATATTTAGACTAACAAATTTACGTATTTCTCTTTGTTAAATCCCCATAGTTTAGATTAGCGTTACAGTGAAGTGGAGTTTGGATAAATCTTGACAAGGTGTATAGAATAAAAAGCAATGATGTGCAGTTACCTTTACAAACTAGAGAATAAAAGATGACAAGGAGTACTGTTTTGTTATTACTATACCTCGGTGGCTTTGCGGGAAAGGCTATCAGTGGTAAAGGTCCTTAATCCTCTTAGATTTATAGATCCCCAGTAATAAAATTGCCAATATTTTCAATTGCGTATTATATACACAAGAATTGCTTTCTGCTTTGGTAGTGCTGCACAATAGTTGTGCTTTTCTGTTCCTTTTCAAAATGCAAGTTTGTATGTTGAGGACTCGGACAGCAAACTCCCTAGGTGGCTGGTGTTTCATTTCAATAGAATTAGACAGAGTCATTGCACTGAGCCACTAAAAACCTCTTTTGTTGGCATTCTGCAGATCTTACAGGACAGGGTTTGTGGAATTCTACAGGACAGGGTTTGTGGAAGTCTGCAGAAGTCTACAGGACAGGGTTTGTGCCACTGAATAGTTTCTGCACTCTTTAATGATATGAAACGCCTATGCTGCTCCTGGTAGCCAGAGACCATGGAGCCTTAGCCATGGCTAGGCTAGCTGAGGGCAGCATTAATTATTATTAAGAGAGGTCATGTTTTGGCCAAAATAATAATGTGATTTGGTAACTCTGACATGTCCTTTATTGATTCATGTGATGTGTGCATTTTAATAAAGGTCACTTCCAATTGGTAACAATTTCCACTGTTCTAAAATCTGAATAGGCACAATGGTGGTAAATATAGTTTGGATGGGCACTGTGCTAGAACTCTGAAATGTGATTACTGCCATATAATAACATAAACTGTGATATCCTTGAGGCATAGTACAGAGAATGTGTAACATCCTGTGAATGGTTATGAATTCATGCTGGGTGTGGGCATTTTAACAAAGTATCAGACATTTGACAGCAAGAAAAAAAAGCTTGAAAGAGCATGTGTATTCTCCTCCACTGTCCCTGCTGTTAATACTATTTCCCAGGATAGCTTCATCACTGCTCTTAGTACATTCTGGAAAGAAAAAAAAAACGATTGACCTGTGAATTCCAAGGATGGTGATGGGATGGCATTGGTATGTGCAATGTTCCTAGGTTGCCATCAGAATGTTTTCTGTCACTAGACAAGCTTATCCACTATCCAGCAACTGTCAGAGACTTGGTACTACTGTTTTTGAAGCAGTACTACCTGACCTATTAACTTGGCTGGCTACTGAGGAATGAATAGTAAACTGGATGAGAATTTCAAACCTACCACATCACTAAAAATGCAGATAGCAGTCTCTTGGTAACTGCTTTTATGGAGATGTTGTAGGTGTCCGTGCTGGCTCTTACGACAATATATGTTGTGTTAAGTGAAAAAAAGGAAGGGAAAAATGAAACGATTGCCTATTACTACTACTTTTGAATACATTGCTTGATATTAGTTACAAGCAATTTGGTCTACAAACTAACTGACTACACACATCAGCAAATTTACATGTTTTCCCTGACTATACTGTAGTTATGTGTATTTGTTCAGCCTGCAGAGATTCATACAACTTATGAATGATTGTCTAGATTTGTTAATTGTATGAGTCTCTGAAGATCAGACACATCTACCCTGAAATAGGGATATAAAATGGGTGAATCAGCCGTCATCCTGAATTGATTGGCCCTAGTTGCTATCATCAACTTCTCCAAACATCATTGGAATCAGAAACTAAGTATACTTACTGAAAGACCCCCAGGTGACTACCTAACAATTATTGTTTCCACAGTGTTCCAATGCATGTCCTCAGTCTGTGATTTGACCATAGGAAGAAATGCTACATTGATGTTCCCTGCAAATACAGACTGTGATACTGTCACCCGGGCATACAGCAATACCAGAAGGTAAGCAGATTTACTACTTATGCAGTCCAAGGTGAGACTGTTGTTTCATTGCATAGCTGTGTGCTCTTTGACCTACCTTTCTGTAAGGGTTAGGGGAAGTACTGTAGCCTGGTGTCTATTAGCATTCCAATCCTCTCTCTACAGAAAACAGTCATATACATAGTAGCCCCATTTTATTCATGTAATAACTTGGAAGACATTAGGGCAGCTAGAGAAGAATATTGGCAAGAAGAGGTGGTACTTCACAACTGTACCTCATTGTATGTTTCATCCCATTGCCAAGACTGTTAATATAGGGGTCTATTCACAAAGCTGCCGAAGGATCTAGCCGCAGCTTCGGTTGATCCTTCGGCTAGCTTCCGCCCCAGGACCCCTTCGGTTCAGTAGAACCGAAGAACTTCTGTACGCGCTATTCACTATAGCCCGTACAGCTCCCGAAGTTGGCCGAGGGGCTCTGTCAGGGTGCATCAGTCAACAGCCATAGTACCGCTATTGCCCGGACTGCTGCACGCTATGCGCATGCGCGTAATCCGCGCGTTTCCGCTAGTACTGCGCATGCGCAAAAACATGCACGTTCGCACACAAAAATGTGCACACGCAAGTAACATGCACACGCATTTCCTTGGCGCCAGGCGGGCTATTTAAAGATGGCCCCTGCATCTGCTGAGAGATCTTCAGCTGTAACCTGCATCTGTGTTTCTGCTCCTGATACCTGTTTGACCCAGCTTGATTCTTGACCCTGCCTGCTTGCTGCCTGCCTTGTGACCTCGGCTCGTTCCTCACCATTCTCCTGCCTCCTGATTCGGTGCCATTCTGCTCGTTAGTGTATGACCCGGCCTGTTCCTGACTCTGCTTCTGTCGCTTGCTTTTGTACCACGCTGACCGCACGTTACCGATCTGGCTTGTCCCTGACTACGCCTCAGACTCTCACACAAGTGTCGTCTGGTCTGCCATCGACCACCAGCTGCCTCTGGCGTCCTGTTGTCCGCATCAGCACATCCCGTGTGTCCAGCAGTAATACCAGCCACTCGTGTCCCTCTCTGTCTGTATAACTACTGTTCCATCTCCAGTGGGTCACAGACTAGAGCAGCAAGGAAAGGCCTTCCTCGTCACTTCAGGCTCATACCAAGGTACGTGGCAGGCTCAGTCGAGCCGAAGTCATATGCTTTGGCTCGACTGAGCCCAGGTGAAAGTGGAAGCTGGCCGAACAGCCTGCTACTGACAGCTGGGCGGAGCCAGCCATCATCTCACGTCTGGCTTCGGCCACTTACACAGACAGATCAGCGTCCCTGGTTACCAGATAACCAGGGACGCTGATCTCCAGGCAGCCCAACTCTCTCCCGCTATTAGATAGTGGCTCCCGGCCGGCCGGGAGATAAACACTTTTTCCCTGAAAGTTTTACTCTGCTCAATAGAGCAGAGTAAACTTTTCCCTGCTGTGTTGTCTTTTTTTTTTCTTCTTACATCTGAGCCGCCGGCTGCCGTCAGAATAAAAAAAAAAAACCATAGGAATGCAAAACTACATTCCTATAACTAGCTATTGCACCCGCCCACTGC